AGCACCCATGACCTTTCTAATAAGGGTAAAATTGTAAACAATTGAGTTTGTTCTAAGGTTGTTATAACATTTTTGTAATTAACTAGTGATTAGTTAGATGAATATGTAATTAGTTGTTAGCGCAATTGAGTTAGTCACTAGTATATATACACCAAATATGTAATCTTATTCTGTCATGAAATGAAACTATAACTTTCCTATTATGGTATCTCTGAGAATGATCAGAACATCTTGATTTAGATTAGTTCTACACTCTCGAATTCTCTCATTCCATACACTGCTGTAGTCAATTCGACTCATGAGCTATGGTCAAAATTGGAATCATTACTCGCGACTGCATCGCAATCGCGCATTCATAAACTTCGTTCTCGTCTTTGTAACATCACGAATGGTGATTCTACGACTGCAATCTGTGTTCAACAAATTGAAGAAATTTCTAATGCACTTGCAAATGCTGAAGCTCCGATTGAAGACTTTTAGTTGATATCTATGATTTTACATGGTGTGCCCTTTGAGTATGAATATTTTATTGATGCAATCCAATTTTGGCTTGGTTCCACTACCATTGATGAACTCCATGGCTTTCTTTTAAGCAAAGAGCTTCAATTAACTATTCATAAGAAAACCTCTTCGTTGCATCAATTCAAGCTTTCCATTCTTCTGTTGGCCTTCTGCTAACACCGACTGGTGATTCAGGTTCTCATGCATTCTTTACTCATAGTGGATCCAACTTTAATTCCTATGGTCCTCAACATCGTGGCAATTTATCCAACCCTAGGAATGATAACAATCGTGGAAATCAAAGGTATAATCAAGGCTTTCAGGGTAATCAAATGTTTAATCGAGGCAATCAGGGTAATCTTGGTACAACCGTGGCTCTCGTTCTCAATATAACAATTCTACCAGAAATATCTCTTGCCAAATTTGTCACTGAATGGATCATGAAGCTGCAGAGTGCCCTCAACTCATGAATCTAACTTTTAGTACTAAGAATTCTCAAACTGCACACAATGCAACCACTACTTCTACATGGCTTCTTGATTTTAGTGCTAGTTTTCACATGACTAATTCGTACAACAATCTACAAAACCATGAGGCATACAATGGGATGAGCAAGTTTATATTGTTGATGGCAAATGTGTGCCTATGCTTAATTCTGGATTATCTACACTTAATATTGCCTCTCATTGTTTTGATCAATGTCTTGCATGTTCCTTATCTTAAGTAAGATTTGATTTCTGTAAACCAATTCATACTTGATAATTGGTGTTCTATTCATTTGTATCATTTTCACTTCATTATGAAGGATCTTTCTTCGGAGAAAACGCTCTTTAAAGGTCATGTGAGAGCTGGATTCTACCTATTTCATACATCTCCTATTGCTGGAAATCAATAGGCATTTGCAACATATGGTAAAGCTTCACATGATACTTGGCATCAAAGATTAGGCCATCCTGCATTCAAAATACTAAATAAGCTAGCATCTAAATCCTGTATTTCAGTTTCAAGTTTGTTTATACCATACTTAGGGCATTCGTATTTAGATCTCGTGCAAATACTCGGGGGACTTAAATGTAATTATGTAATAAATAAGGAGCTCTTATTCTATAAAAGGACTCATCACCCTCACAATTAGAGGAGGCCAACTCCTAGGCCTGAAGCCCTTCACCCTTTCACATCCCCTCTCACATTACAAAGGTTCTCTCCCTCATAATCCTTTCAGAGAAATACAATAATCAGTGTGGACGTAGCCCAAACATTGGGGTGAACCACGATACATCTTGTGTTATTTACATTTCATGCAGATTCACGGTCGGATTTACGTTGTTCTAAGACCTTCGGTTTTGTGCATCAAAATTTGGCGCCGTCTGTGGGAATCGATAAAAAAAGCTATGTCGATTCTCTTTCATTTTTTCATCTCACCACCGTGAGACCTCACCACACTCCACCTTGAATTTGCAAAACCCATACAGAAACACAAACTTTACACACTGTGTTATTTACTTTGCACACCCATTCGATATCTTCACCGACAAGATCATCCACGCCATCCTTGACCACCTAGACGACGACCCATTTACCAGAAGGTCATCCCATGTGTCCCATGTGTAAAGCCAAATGGCAACACGCACTCCACGGTTGTGTTGTCCATGTGTTAGGCGCTCCACGTCACCATGTTGTGTTGTCCATGTGTTAGGCGCTCCACATCACCCTGTTGTGTTGTCCACGTGTTAGGCTTGAAAATTCGCCGCATGAGAATGAGTCCCACATTTATGGGAGGATGGACCTAGTTTGCTTCAGCAAGCATATTGATAAATGCCTTCGCCTAGAGGAAGGTTTTGTGCTTCCACAACCTTTTTTTTGCTTCTTTTAGTCTGCTTTTTCTTTTTCATTTTCTATTTTATAGTAGTTTTGTTACTCATAGCTTGAATGTGTTTGCCAAATAACTGATTTACGTGATAACACTGTCTTTATTGCCTGTATTCCCGCAATAGATCTTTTACTCTTTTTGTTTTATAAATTTCTTGTATAAAAAACTAGCTTCTGGATCTGATGCTGTATCCTTTTGTTGGCTAGAAAAACTGACAACGAGATCAAGAATTTATGGAACATGCACATGAGGAAGCCCCATGTTATCCCGCAAATGCTGCTGGAATTCATCCGAATGATGTTCTTGTTATCCTGCAAATGCTGCTGGATTTCATCCAAATGACGTTTGTTTGGATGAAAAATTCTGGGATGTTTCTGTACTATTTTTTCTTTTTTCTTTTTATCTTGATGATTTGAAATCCAATGCACAGTTTACAACATGGTGTACACAAAGCACTCCAAATCTGAGTTTTGCGCTATAACAAGCAATGGATTATTGATCCTGTCATAGGTAGAAGCGCCATATAAGTACTTTGTTATCCGTAGATAAAGACTTCTTCACAAAGTGGCACAAGTGCTTAGGGGCAGGAAGGAAGAAGATGATATATGGTCGATTATATATTGACTGCATATCGAGCGTGGAGATTGACTATAGTGGGATGCATCTCAATCACAATTTTTTTTAAAAATTTTAATATATTTAGGAGATGGATGAGAGCTCGAAACTATTATGATAATCACAGGACCTTATCGTGGTCCTATCCTCTTTTTCCCATCAAATTGAGTTATGTTATTTCTGGTAATGTGATCACGGTTTCATTACCTGAAAAAGTGTACCCTTTTTGTCTAATTTGTTTGTTTCTCTCTAACGATGGGGAATCTCAAGAGCGATTCAAGTGGTGGTTCTTTTGAGAGAGAAGAGAATTGAAATTCAGCTTTAAAATCATTCTCAACTAGTCAATAACAAGTGGTCCCATTTTTTTCATCGGGTCGGGATAGAGACCAAAGGTCTTGAGCTACCGATTTGGAAGAACAACTGAAAAGATATTCAGCTTTGGCCGGGAGCAGAGAGATTCCACTTGTAAGCGGACTAGGACGCTCCACACCATCAGAATGATTGGGTCCACTCCAATCAGGAGGAGCAAAAGGTTGGGTTTATTTTTTGGACCTGGATTGTCTGCCCTCCCATTTCGGTGCCCTCCCCGTGCCCTCCTATTTTGTGTGGTCACGGTTAAGCCACGTCAACATTTTATATTGTTTTTTATAAAAATAATAAAACAAAAAGAAATAATAATATAAAATGTTGACGTGGCTTAACCGTGACCACACAAACAGGAGAGCACGAGGAGGGCACCGAAATGGGAGGGCAGACAATCCAAGTCCTTATTTTTTTTTTATCTTCTTTCTTCCTAATTAGGAGAGGGTCTTGCTTACCTCATCTAGAGTAGGGCTAGGCACGGGCAGGGCCAAACCCAATTTTGAACGGACCGGACTGGACCCGAGTTTAAAAGAAACGGGCCAGGGCGGGTACAACATATTTTAATATAGGAACCTGACCTAACCCGGCCCGATACAGGTCGGGTCCACAGGTCCTTTTTATTTTTGGGAAAAAAAAAACTATATTTATTCAGCAGTAGCACAGGAAACCACGATCCCAAATTTTTGTGCTCCAATTTTCTTGTCCTTAATGGAGTTTGGGGATCGTGGGTCTTTTGGGATGGAGAAGAAGAGGGTCTGATGGTGGATGACATTCTTTCCAAACGGGCAAAGTCGGCATGCAAATGCAAATGGTGGAGGTGGTTCTGCTGTCCACACCCAATATAACATCTCCGGCGTCGACGGACGCTGGCATTTGGTGCTCAAAGTCCCAAATTTCGCCATTCCTGTAGCGCTTCATCTAGGTTTTCACAGTAGTCCAATTAAACTGTATTGGATCAAATGGGATTGGAATTCGACGTTTGTTTGGAGGAATCAGAGGGGTTAAAAGGCGCCAACAGAAGCTCGGTCTTTCTGCATCAGAGACAAATGGGGATAAACATAAAAGAACAAGGAGGAGAGGTTTGGGGAGTCATATGTTTTGGGAGTTTGTTGTGTGTAGTACCACGCCAGATAAACTGAATGGGAATGGGAGAAACAGGTCCGGCCGGGGCCCTGTTTCTTGGGACTTTTGGACCCACCCCTCCCCTTAATTTCTTGAACCCGCCCCACCCCACCCATTTTGTGTTTTACAATTTTCCGACCCGCCCCACAGGTCTAGTACCCGTTTGCCCACCCCTAACCTGGATTGAGTGTGGTATGATGTGTGAGAGGGAGATGAGACCAAATGTGGACCTATGTCGAATCCGGACGTTAGAATTTCTCTTTAATTTAGAGGGTTTAGAACATTAGAATTTCTCTTTAATTTCACATTGTATTTAATGGTGCATAGCAGTGATATGAAAAATAAATGGTTAAGATCAAACATAAAAGATTTAATAATTGTGAAAATCAAAAACATTTAAAACATTCGTAACACACTTAGTACCGGACTTCATAAACAACACGCTAAAAATTCTCTGTTTGATTGGACATGGCCTAATCAAGGTTTTGCTAACTCTAAATTACGATATTACCTTCTGTGTTCACACAAAATTGATAAGCGGAAGTAGCTGACTGATTGACGCGGTGAAACTCAATGCGGAAAGCCATTTGGTAAAGTTTTGCACTTTTCACATTGAAATCTCTTCAAACAAATTTGTTGTCAGATAAGAGCGTATCTTATATAATACGACTTTCCTCACTCCCAACCATTGAAAGAAAAAAAAATTCAAAAAATAAAAATAACGGAACATCACCGGAAAAAGGGTTCGATAAACACAATCAATTGGTCATCTTCTTACTGATTAGCCCAGATGCTGAACATGATGCGGGCGACGACAATGGCTGCTTCGACTTCTTTCAAGGTCGATCTCGGCATCGGCAGCAGACTGAGAGGGAGAGGTATGCCGCCTGTGTCTTGTCTAGTTCACAACTCAACTCTTTTTCTATTGCCCAACTGTTACTTGGCTCCGTTTCACGCTCGACCTTCTTAACCAACCAAATCTAAAAGCACCCAATTGCATTGGCGTGTGAAACTCAATAATCTTGAGGATGCACTCCATGTGTTCGACGAAATGCTTCAAATGCGTCCTCTGTCGTCCGTTATCCGATTCAAGTCTTGACTCAAGTCGCCAAATTGAAACATTATGCAACAGTCATCGTGTTGAATGATCAAATGGGCCTGTTGGGAATTGGTCCTAATGCTTACACTCTAAACATTATCATTAATTGCTTTTCTCATTTGAACCAAATCGGGTTTGGTTTGTCCGTCTTGGGAAAATTCTTCAACACTCTAATCCACGGGTTCCTTCTTCAGAATAGAGAGGCCGATGCTGTTGGAATTCTGAATAAAATGATGGAGAGTGGTACTTGTAAGCCCAATGTGGTTACTTTCGGCACACTAATAAAGGGCCTTTGCATGAAAGGTAACAACACTGGATCTATCCAATTGCTTAAGAAGATGGAAGAAGCAGGTTGCAAGCCATAGTTGTCTACAACACGATCATCGACAGTCTTTGTAAGGACACTATGCTTGTTGATGCGATGAACCTCTTCTCTGAAATGATGAGTAAAGGTATTGACCCCGATGTCATTACATATACTTCTTTGATTCATGGAGTATGCAAATTATGGGGGTCGAAAGAAGCTACGAGATTGTTTAATGAAATGGTGAGCAAAGGCATATTTCCAACTCTGCACACCTTCAATGTCTTGGTAGACAGCCTTTGTAAAGAGGGCTTGGTTGGGGAAGCAAAAAGCATTGTCGAATTGATGACTCAAAGAGGTATTGAGCCTGACACAGTTACTTATAATTCGCTCATGGATGGTTATTGCTTGCGAGGGGAAATGAATGAGGCAAAAAAGGTTTTGGAACTAATGCTTAGCAAGGGATCCATTGTTGATGCTTATAGTTACAACATATTGATAAATGGCTATTGTAAGCATAGAAGGATAGATGAGGCGGTGTTGCTTTTTGAGGAAATTTCTAGTATCAGAGTCATTCCAAATGTCGTTATTTACACCACTCTCATGGACGGTTTTTGCAAAGTAGGGAGAACACAAGATGCACAAAAGTTGTCCTCTCAGATGCAAGCTTGCGGCCATTTTCCAGATGTTCAAACCTATGCTGTTTTATTGGGTGGCCTGTGTAAAAACCAACAATTTCCCGAGGCAATACAATTGTTAAGAGATATGGAGAGTAAGAAGTTAGAGCCAAATATTGTGATTTACGCTATTCTAATTGGAGGATTGTGCATTGGTGGGAAAGTTGAATTTGCAAGGGATCTCTTTCGCAGTTTATCATCAAGAGGTCTTCAACCTAATACCAGGACATATAACATAATGATTGGTGGATTTTGCAACAGAGGGCTAACAAACGAAGCGGTAAAATTACTTAAAGAAATGGAAGAGAAAGGTTGTTCTCCAAATGGTTGGACCTATAACATAATCATCCGAGGCATTTTCAATAACAATGAGCTATCAGAAGCGATGGGACTTATTCAACAAATGGTGGGGAAGGGTTTTTTCTGCATATGCGTCGACGGAATTGATAATTGATTTGTTGTCTAAAGATAAAGTAGATCTTGCTTTGTTGCCATTGATAGACAGATCGTAGTGAAGTTAATTTCTATCTTGTAAAGTTGAAACAGATCCTTCTAATGATTATTGTTAATTTTGAAAGTGTTGCACCTTTCAATCCCATAAATGCATTATAATACTATGCATACATTGTAGCTTAAGAAAATTACAGACCCCCTGCTATTTTTTTTATTTTTTTTAATTTTATTTTTATTACACTCATGTTAGTGGAGGTGCATATCGAGAATTAAAGGGTGACCTCAAGCTAACAAGGCTCCCTACTTTGTCCGGGGGTGAAAATGTCTATCGTACGCAGGCTTTTGTTTTGCAAAGAGGTTGTTTACATGACTCAAGCTTGTAACCTTTTTTGTCACAAAAGAGTAACCCTTTCTATTGCGCCAAGACTTGCCCTTAGGTGCAAAGCGAGAATACGACTGGTTTTTACATTCAAACGTGTTCTAAATAATTAACTTCTCACCTTGATGGAAGACTTTAAGGGTGTTGCTAGTTTCCTCGATACCAACTGTTTTGCAGGGGATGAAATTCAGCAAACAATGTTGCCAGGAGACGATGTCTTGTCTTGGACACTGATTTGACGGTACATGTTTTGTGTGAGTTTAATAATATTGTTGAAAAGTATGTTATGATCCCTTTGCACGAAGTGAAACATGAATAGCATTGGGCTCAGGAGACACTTAACATGTGTACCGTTGATGTCAATATGATGTAGGGAGTAGGATTCTCTACCCTCCTAATCTCTCTACCCTTCCGTCTCCCTATTATTTGAACTGTCACGGTTAAGCCATGTCAACATTTTATATTGATTTTAAAGAGATATTTAGACAAAAAACAATGTGTGAGAGAAGGGGATGGAAGGGGATGAGAATATGAGGGTAGAGAATCCTACTCCATTTTGCAGGAGCATCCATTTTTAAGTTCTCGTGGAAATAGGGACTCAGAAAATTATAAAGATTTTTAGTGTGATATATGATGACGATGTCCATGATATGGAAGGTGATATTGTTTGAGGATGAAAATGGAGAACTTGCGGATCAATTTGAGTTTTGGTTACTTGCAGCATTCGCCAGGCATGGATTATGATATTCGTCAAAATGGCGAAAACGAGCACTTACTTCAAGTATAAGTATGTTGCTTATTTTCTCAATAACAACGAAGGTTCTAAAAAACGCTAGGTGCTAATCGGGCGGCAAGCTAGGGCCTAACGCCTAGGCGGTTAGGCGGAGCCTAGGTGGACTAGACGGATTTAAATAAATCTATTATATTTCGTATAAATAAATGTCTGTTTATACTTGAATATATATAATTTTGTCATAAACTATAAAATATAATGACATATATATTATGAAGTATTGAAACATAATGAAGTATTGAAACTATAAAATAAAATGCAAAATTGAAGTTATCTATTTTTTATCAAAGTAAGTCACGACTTAGACGGGTGTTTAGGAAGTCTTGAAGGGCTAGGCAGATGCCTAGGCGGGCGCCAGCAGGTCTATGCGCCTATTGTTAATTTTCAAACGCCTAAACATTTATCGGGGACGGTGGCCAGCCGCCTAAAACCTAGGCGGGCCTAGACGGAGATTTTTAGAACAGCAATAACAACTGTTTTGCAGGGGATGAAATAAGGGGGGTGTATTCAATTGAGAATGTGAGAGATTTTAATGGATTTATAAATCCATGGATTTTTATGGAGTTTAATTGATTTGTAGAGATTTTATTTAAAATTTTGATTCAATTCCCACGAAATCTCATGGGAAGATGTGAGATTTGTGGATACTTAAAATACACTACGAAATCTCTCTAATTCCCTCTAATTCCTTAACTTTCTCAAATTCTTTAAAATCAATTTCTAATTGAATACACCTGGAATGTTATAAACTTCTTTAAAATCTTAATTGAATACACCTGGATTTCTAAGGATTTTAATAAACTATTTTAAAATTCTAATTGAATACACCTAGAATTTCAGAGAATCACTTAAAATCTTAATTGAATAACCCTAGATTCATTAAAAGAATTAAAATCTCTTAAAATCTCAATTGAGTAGACCCCTCTAAAGCAAGCAATGTCGGCCGAGATGATGTATGGTCTAGAAAGCTTATATGAATGGATGTTTCTTTCATTATTGCTTCCCAGTACAAAGGAGTTTTTGTAGTTTTAGTACGTACGACATCCTCCAGATCTACAAACACCCAATTGCATCAGCTTGTGAAAGTCACAAATATTGTGGATGCCTTCAGCGAATTCGACGAAATGCTTCAAACGCATCAGCTGCCTTCCGTTGTCCTTTTTAATCAAAACATGGGTCAACTGAACAATTGAGTGAACATTGAAATTGGGTTCGCTTGTTTTGGTGGTGCGACTGAACAATTGAGTGATAAATTTTATGGGGTAATCCACAAGCTTTCTCTTGAAATCATATGTGGGTAGCTCTGAATTGGCGCCTAGAAATCATATGAGAATTGTTAAGGGTCTGGAAATCATATGAGGGTAGCTCTGAACTCCGACTTGGTGCGACTGAATTTTTTGTTATTCTCTTGAATGGAGCAAAGCCCAGGTTTGAATGTTATAAGTTATAATCCACAAGCTTTCTGGTTGTATAATCTTTCTGGATGTCGGATGGTGTATTGGACTTTTGAGTCAAAGCATCATGTGCCCGTGGAGCTTTTATCAATAATAACTAAAATTTAACACCTAATTTCATAAATGTCACTTTTTATAACTTCTTTCAAAAATAACAAAAAAAATCCACTTAAATAAACTTACATACCCTCCTTTGGTATTCAAGCAACCAAAAGCTTAAATGCCCTCCTCTGGAAGGCAAGAGACAGCTCGGTATGGGAAAAGTTTTGTGCAGATCCTATGGCTTTAATTCACACACCTTCAGTTGGATGCATGATTTCCAGGAGGCCAACGAAGAACCAGTGGAGTGAGTAAAACTAAACAATCATGGTGGATGCCTCCTAATGAACACCTAAAATTCTTCATTGAAATATGCAGCATTCATGGGCAATGTGCAATCATCATGTTTGACGATACCGCTAGGTCGACATAGAGAGTTTTTTTTCCAGTAAAACTGTCACACAGGATGGTACATTACATGTCATTACATAAATAATGGGATATGTGTGTCAAAAAGTTAATAACTTAAAAAATATAATTTTCTACTATTTACATAAAAACACGTAGTGTACTACCCGTGTTTCCGTCAATTAAAAATTTCTCGTCGACATACAAGAATGTCCCTACATGGCACCGTGATCTCTGCTGGTGAGTTAGCTAAATTATTTTTGTGTCAAGTCTAATGTTTTATTTCTTTTCTTTTTACATTAGTTGGTGATGGTTTGGTATACTTGGTTCCTCAGGTTAGTATTTCAGTGTGTGCGAGAACATCCCTATTGTTCTCTGTGGCAACAAGGTTGATGTGAAGAACAGGCAGGTTAAAGCCAAGCAGGTTACCTTCCACAGAAAGAAGAATCTGCAGTAGTATGAGATATCAGCAAACAGCAACTACAACTTTGAGAAACCCTTCCTCTACTTGGCGAGCAAGGGTGGATGAAACTAAATGTGAAGGGAGCCATAAGGACAAGGGACGGGAGATGAGGTGCAATTCTATTCTTCTCGGAGTAAGAAGAGCTCAAATTTTGGAGGGTTGAGTTTGCTTC